GAGATAAGAGGAAATAAATAAGAACAAGAACTAGAAAGAAAATAGAAGAAAACCCAGAGGGGTGTGTATATATATGCTTGTACATGTGTGTGTAGTGTGACCTAAGTGTAAGTAGAAGTAGCAAGACGTACCTGTAATCTTGCATATTTATGAGACAGGCAAAAGACACCAGCAATCCTACCATCATGTAAAACAATTACAGGCTTTCGTTTTACACTCACTTGGCAGGATGGTAGTACCCCCCTGGATGGTTGCTGTCTACCAACCTACTACCTAAATACATATATATATCTTTCTTCTTTCAACACACCGGGCCGTATCCCACCGAGGCGGGGTGGCCCAAAAGGAAAAACGAAAGTTTCTCCCTTTTAATTTAGTATATATACAGGAGAAGAGGTTACCAGCCCCTTGCTCGCCATTTTAGTCGCCTCTTACAACACGCATGCTTACGAGAAGAATTCTGTTCCACTTCCCCATGGAGATAAGAGGAAATAAACAAGAATAAGAAACAGAAAGAAAATAAAGAAAACCCAGAGGGGTGTGTATATAAATGCCTTGTAACATTGAATTACCTAATGAAGTAAAGAAAAGACACCTAACGCCCCCAAACACAAAAACACCAGCAATCCTACCATCCATGTAAAAACAATTACAGGCTTCGTTTTCCCACTCAACTGGCAGGATGGTAGTACCCCCCGGATGGTTGCTGTCTACCAACCTCTACCAAATACATATATAAATATATATATATATTTTTTTTTTTATATCACACTGGCCGATTCCCACCAAGGCAGGGTGGCCCTGAAAAAGAAAAACTTTCACCATCATTCACTCCATCACTGTCTTGCCAGAAGGGTGCTTTACACTACAGTTTGAAACTGCAACATTAACACCCCTCCTTCAGAGTGCAGGCACTGTACTTCCCATCTCCAGGACTCAAATCCGGCCTTGCCGGGTTTTCCCCGAACCCCTTCATAAATGTTACTTTGGGTCACACTCCAACAGCACGTTTAATATTAAAAACCATTTGTCTCCATTCACTCCTATCACACGCTCACGCATGCCTGCTGGAAGTCCAAGCCCCTCGCACACAAAACTCCTTTAACCCCCTCCCTCCAACCTTTCCTAGGCCGACCCCTACCCCCCCTTCCTTCCACTACAGACTGATACCTCTTGAAGTTATTCTGTTTCGCTCCATTCTCTCCACATGTCCGAACCACCTCAACAACCCCTTTCCCCAGCCCTCTGGACAAAGTTTTGGTTTAAACCCGCCCTCCTCCTAACTTCCAAACTACGAATTCTCTGCATTATATTCACACCACACATTGCTCTCAGACATGACATCTCCACTGCCTCCAGCCTTCTCCCCGCTGCAACATTCATTCACCCATGCTTCACACCCATATAAGAGCGTTGGTAAAACTATACTCTCATACATTCCCCTCTTTGCCTCCAAGGACAAAGTTCTTTGTCTCCACAGACTCCTAAGTGCACCACTCACCCTTTTCCCCTCATCAATTCTATGATTCACCTCATCTTTCATAGACCCATCCGCTGACACGTCCACTCCCAAATATCTGAATACATTCACCTCCTCCATACTCTCTCCCTCCAATCTGATATCCAATCTTTCATCACCTAATCTTTTTGTTATCCTCATAACCTTACTCTTTCCTGTATTCACTTTCAATTTTCTTCTTTTGCACACCCTACCAAATTCATCCACCAATCTCTGCAACTTCTCTTCAGAATCTCCCAAGAGCACAGTGTCATCAGCAAAGAGCAACTGTGACAACTCCCACTTTATGTGTGATTCTTTATCTTTTAACTCCACGCCTCTTGCCAAGACCCTCGCATTTACTTCTCTTACAACCCCATCTATAAATATATTAAACAACCACGGTGAACATCACACATCCTTGTCTAAGGCCTACTTTTACTGGGAAATAATTTCCCTCTTTCCTACATACTCTAACTTGAGCCTCACTATCCTCGTAAAAACTCTTCACTGCTTTCAGTAACCTACCTCCTACACCATACACCTGCAACATCTGCCACATTGCCCCCCTATCCACCCTGTCATACGCCTTTTCCAAATCCATAAATGCCACAAAGACCTCTTTAGCCTTATCTAAATACTGTTCACTTATATGTTTCACTGTAAACACCTGGTCCACACACCCCCTATCTTTCCTAAGCCTCCTTGTTCATCGCTATCCTATTCCTCCGTCTTACTCTTAATTCTTTCAATAATAACTCTACCATACACTTTGCCAGGTATACTTAACAGACTTATCCCCCTATAATTTTTCCACTCTCTTTTATCCCCTTTGCCTTTATACAAAGGAACTATGCATGCTCTCTGCCAATCCCTAGGTACCTTACCCTCTTCCATACATTTATTAAATAATTGCACCAACCACTCCAAAACTATATCCCCACCTGCTTTTAACATTTCTATCTTTATCCCATCAATCCCGGCTGCCTTACCCCCTTCGTTTTACCTACTGCCTCACGAACTTCCCCCACACTCACAACTGGCTCTTCCTCCCTCCTACAAGATGTTGTTCCTCCTTGCCCTATACACGAAATCACAGCTTCCCTATCTTCATCAACATTTAACAATTCCTGAAAATATTCCCTCCATCTCTCCAATACCTCTAACTCTCCATTTAATAACTCTCCTCTCCTATTTTTAACTGACAAATCCATTTGTTCTCTAGCTTTCTTAACTTGTTAATCTCACTCCAAAACTTTTTCTTATTTTCAACAAAATTTGTTGATAACATCTCACCCACTCTCTCATTTGTTCTCTTTTTACATTGCTTCACCACTCTCTTAACCTCTCTCTTTTTCTCCCTATACTCTTCCCTCCTTTCATCACTTCTACTTTGTAAAAACTTCTCATATGCTAACTTTTTCTCCCTTACTACTCTCTTCACATCATCATTCCACCAATCGCTCCTCTTCCCTCCCGCACCCACTTTCCTGTAACCACAAACTTCTGCTGAACACTCTAACACTACAGTTTTAAACCTACCCCATACCTCTTCGACCCCATTGCCTATGCTCTCATTAGCCCATCTATCCTCCAATAGCTGTTTATATCTTACCCTAACTGCCTCCTCTTTTAGTTATAAACCTTCACCTCTCTCTTCCCTGATGCTTCTATTCTCCTTGTATCCCATCTACCTTTTACTCTCAGTGTAGCTACAACTAAAAGTGATCTGATATATCTGTGGCCCCTCTATAAACATGTACATCCTGAAGTCTACTCAACATTCTTTTATCTACCAATACATAATCCAACAAACTACTGTCATTTTCACCCTACATCATATCTTGTATACTTATTTATCCTCTTTTTCTTAAAATATGTATTACCTATAACTAAACCCCTTTCTATACAAAGTTCAATCAAAGGGCTCCCATTATCATTTACACCTGGCACCCAAACTTACCTACCCACACCCTCTCTAAAAGTTTCTCCTACTTTAGCATTCAGGTCCCCTACCACAATTACTCTCTCACTTGGTTCAAAGGCTCCTATACAATCACTTAACATCTCCAAAATCTCTCTCTCTCCTCTGCATTCCTCTCTTCTCCAGGTGCATACACGCTTATTATGACCCACTTCTCGCATCCAACCTTTACTTTAATCCACATAATTCTTGAATTTACACATTCATATTCTCTTTTCTCCTTCCATAACTGATCATTATATATATATACATACACATATATATATATACATATATACATACATACATACATACATACATACACACACACACACACATGCACGCATGCACGCATGCACACGCACACATGCACAGACATGCACGCATGCACACGCACACATGCACAGACACGCACGCACGCACACATACATACATACATACATATACATACATACAGCCTCTCCTCACTTAGCAACGTACTCGTAACGACTCAGGCTTATTACAGGCTCTCTGACCAGTATGCATACCTAAATATTACGACTGATTTCCTCTATTCTGTTTATTACAATATACAATACACTACTGTATAAACATTTAAAAATATACTAAAAATGTTATAAATGGTGCAAAGTTGACATTAAAACAATATCAAAGATGGTTGACACAAACCCACTACCATTATAGTATGCTCCTTGCTTAGCGACGAATTCATTTACCACCGTCGTCTTAATAATGGAACTCTGTCATTAAGTGAGGAGAGGCTGTATATCTCTCTCTCTCTCTCTCCATGGGGAAGTAGAACAGAATTCTTCCTCCATAAACCATGCATGTTGTAAGAGGTGACTAAAATGCCAGGAGCAAGGGGCTAGTAACCCCTTCTCCTGTATATCTGGAGATTCTGGAGAGAGTTTCGGGGGTCAACGCCCCCGCGGCCCGGTCTGTGACCAGGCCTCCTTAGGTCAGTGTCCCAGGATGCGACCCACACCAGTCGACTAACACCCAGGTACCCATTTTACTGATGGGGAACATAGACAACAGGTGGAAAGAAACACGTCCAATGTTTCTACTCTGGCTGGGAATCGAACCCAGGCCCTCACCGTGTGAAGCGAGAGCGTTAACCACCAGGCCACCAAATTTAAAAGGAGAAACTTTCATTTTTCCTTTTAGGCCACCCTGTCTCGGTGAGATATGGCTGATTTGTTGAAAGAAGAATATCTATCTCTATATGTTTGTCTCTGTCTCTTTCTGTCTTATCCTAGAGGAAGGCCATTCATGTAAAGAATCATATATAGAGATTACATGATTACTACCTGCCCTCAGCTCTAACCAAAGACAGCATCAGGAATTAAAGAAACAGCTGTTTACAATAAATGACATGTATAAACTAGAGATGGGATACTATGAGCTTAACTCTGCTTCTGTAACTAAAAATAGGTAACTACAGATCCCAAGCTAGGAGACTCAGTCATACATAAAAACTTGATAGCTGCTGCAGCCCACTACCCCTCGGAAACTATGATGGAACAAAGCACAACTCACAGTATGGACATATCTGGAGTGGAACTCAGTGGCCTCCTTTAGGAAGGTAAGTCCAGGATGTGTATCCACTACATCCTGGATCATGCTGAGGAAATCCTCAGGCATGAGGTAGTTTCGCATGCCACGACTCAACACCCGAACAAATCGAGAAGCCATGTCATGACAAGTTGAGATCACTCTGTGCCACAAAAATATAAAGTTACATTCAAGGCATAAACTTTAATGCTACAAGGCAAATTTTTATTTTACATTTCTGCTATTTTGAGAATTACAATTATGACAGTGCTAGACTGAGATTATACAGTACTCTTAAATACACTACTGTAAAATACAGTGGACCCTAGCCTAACGAACGCATCGCATAACGTTAAATCCGCCAAGCGATACATTGTAACGCAAAAATTTTGCCTCGGCTAGCGCTAAAAGACTCGCTCAATGCGATTTGTTCGAGACGCGTCCACATGCGGCCTGAGCCTGCCTCACTTGTTCCGTGGGTACTGGTGTTTACAAGCCAGCCACCACAGTCGCTTCCAAGCATACAATCGGAGCATTTCATATTATCACAGCCTTTTTAGTGATTGCACCTGCAAAATAAGTCACCATGGGCCCCAAGAAAGCTTCTAGTGCCAACCCTACAGCAAAAAGGGTGAGAATTACTATGGATATGAAGAAAGAGATCATTGCTAAGTATGAAAGTGGAGTGCGTGTCTCCAAGCTGGCCAGGTTGTACACAAAATCCCAATCAACCATCGTTACTATTGTGGCCAAGAAAATGGCGATCAAGGAAGCTGTTCTTGCCAAAGGTGCAACTTTTTCGAAACAGAGATCGCAAGTGATAGAAGATGTTGAGAGACTGTTATTGGTGTGGATAAACAAAAAACAGATAGCAGGAGATAGCATCTCTCAAGCGATCATATGTGTAAAGGCTAGGAAGTTGCATGACGATTTAATTAGAAAAATGCCTGCAACTAGTGGTGATGTGAGTGAATTTAAGGCCAGCAAAGGTTGGTTTGAGAGATTTAAGAATCATAGTGGCATACATAGTGTGATAAGGCATGGTGAGGCTGCCAGTTCGGACCACAAAGTGGCTGAAAAATATGTGCAGGAATTCAAGGAGTACATAGAGGCTGAAGGATTGAAACCTGAACAAGTGTTTAATTGTGATGAAACAGGCCTGTTTTGGAAGAAATTGCCAAGCAGGACCTACATTACTCAGGAGGAAAAGGCACTCCCAGGACATAAGCCTATGAAAGACAGGCTTATTCTGTTGATGTGTGCCAATGCTAGTGGTGATTGCAAAGTGAAACCTTTATTGGTGTATCACTCTGAAACTCCCAGTGTGTTCAGGAAAAACAATGTCCTCAAGGCTAATTTGTGTGTGCTGTGAAGGGCAAACAGTAAGGCATGGGTCACTAGGGACTTTTTCTATGACTGGTTACACCATGCATTTGCCCCCACTGTGAAAAATTACCTAATTGAAAAGAAATTAGACCTTAAGTGCCTCCTGTTATTAAACAATGCTCCTGGTCGTCCTTCAGACGTGGCAGAGTGACTTTCTGAGGAAATGAGCTTCATTAAGGTCAAGTTTTTGCCTCCTAATACCACTCCTCTCCTGCAGCCCATGGACCAGCAGGTCATTTCCAACTTCAAGAAACTGTACACAAAAGCTATGTTTGAAAGGTGCTTTGTAATGACCTCAGAAACTCAATTGACCCTGAGAGAGTTTTGGAGAGATCACTTTAGCATCCTCAATTGTGTAAACATTATAGGTAAGGCTTGGGAGGAAGTGACTAAGAGGACCTTGAACTCTGCTTGGAAGAAACTGTGGCCAGAATGTGTAGACAAAAGGGATTTTGAAGGGTTTGAGGCTAACCCTGGGAATCCTATGCCAGTTGAGGAATCCATTGTGGCATTGAGGAAGTCCTTGGGGTTGGAGGTTAGTGGGGAGGATGTGGAAGAGTTGGTGGAGGAGGACAATGAAGAACTAACCACTGATGAGCTGTTAGATCATCTTCAACAGCAAGAGGCCACCTGAGGAAACTGCTTCGGAGGAGGGGATAGAGATATTGAGGAAGTTGCCTACTTCAAAGATTAAGGAAATGTGTGCAATGTGGCTTAAAGTGTAAACCTTTTTTGATGAAAATCACCCTCACACAGCTATTGCAAGCCGTGCTGGTGACTATTACACTGACAATGTTGTGAAACACTTTAGGAATGTCATAAAGGAACGGGAGGTACAGGCCTCTATGGACAGATATGTTGTGCGACAGAGGTCCAGTGACTCTCAAGCTGGTCCTAGTGGCATTAAAAGAAGAAGGGAAGTAACCCCGGAAAAGGACTTGCCACCTCAAGTCCTAATGAAAGGGGATTCCCCTTCTAAACATTAACACCATCCACAGTCTCCCCTCCTCCCATCCCATCAATCATCACCAGATCTTCAATAAAGGTAAGTGTCATGTAACTGTGCATGTCTTCTTCAGTTTGTGTGTATTAAAATTAATATTTCATGTGGTAATTTTTTTTTTTTCATACTTTGGGGTGTCAGGAACGGATTAATTTGATTTCCATTATTTCTTATGGGGAAAATTAATTTGCCTAACAATAATTTTGCCTAACGTTGAGCTCTCAGGAACGGATTAATAGTGTTAGGCGAGGGTCCACTGTACTGCACTGTATTTAGGTTGCAATGTACAATTTTTAAGGATACACTTTTATAATTGAAAATTAAGATGAAAATTTAAATATCAAGTAATGAATTTAAAAATACAATAATAATGCAAATAAATGGTAAATCACAAAAATAAAATTATATATCAACAATAAATAATGTTATTAATTGTACTGATAATTTTCTGTCAGTCTGGAAATGCTTAAAGATTAAGTAGAATAAGTTAGGATAGTGATATGAACCCAATTTATATAGCAGCTAAACTGCAATAGCTGTTAAGATTTACCTGCTCCAGTAATCAGCAAACTGTTCTTGTGTGAGGTAGCCGAGCTTATCCCCGCCAGCGGCGATGAAGAGAGGGGCCTTCCAGTAGAGAGGCAGCTGGCAGGCCCGCATTAGAGGCTCCATGTTCTCACGGGTCACCTGTCCCCCTTGCTCACGGAAAACGGCACCCACCCGCGACAGTGCCTGCTCCTGTGTCATCTGACTTGTTGGCCGACCCATCGGGTAATAGAATCTGTAAAGACAAACAGATTTACCTATAAAAAAGTATTATCCTGTTGAATGAGTAAACTTAAAGCTGATTGCATGTATTATTAGAAAGACACCCATTAAACACTAGGAAACAGTACAAATGTCTTCGATTTCTTACTGTTTAATGTAAGTCATTCGGACAGATTTGAAAATGGGTGCAAGTTTGTGCTCTCGTGTGAGTAGTCTGTGTGTTCTTGAACATAGTTTGTTCATCCTTGTGCATGATTTGCATGTTTTAGTTTATACTTTATATTAACTTAATTACATTTCTGTGCTTATTTTATGTGAATTATTGTAATGTAAACTGGGAACGAGTAATGTAATAAAATAGGAAATTTTAATGAAGCATTTAACTTATAACTGTGTGTAAAAAGATTACAACAAGGCATACTTCAGGGAAACTTCACGGAACTTAGACACACATCAAAGATCATAAATTCTTGTGAAATACATCTAACATGAACGAGTGTCATTCAGAAACAACGATGACAAATTTATGGAATGGACAGAGGTGAAGCTCATCAAAGTTATAAATATACAGCAAAAGGAAATGTTTAAAATCTGCATTATCATATTCAACATCATTACCCTAAACCAAGCCAGTTTTCAAATCATAAAAACTTAGTATAGCCTCTCCTCACTTAGTAACGTACTTGTTTACCGACAACTCGGACTTATGACAGGTTCTCTGATCAGTTTCCATACCTAAATAATGTATATTAGAGCCGATTTTCTCTATTTTGTTTATTACAATATACAGTACACTACTGTATAAACATTTAAAAATATACCAGAAATGTTATAAATGGTGCAAAGGTAACATTAAAACAATATCAAAGATGGTTGACACAAACCCACTACCATTATAGTATGCACCTCATTTAGCGACAAATTTGTTTACCGAAGTGGTCTTAGGAACGGAACTCCATCGTTAAGTGAGGAGAGGTTGTATATACATGTCTTACTTCAGTAACGACTGGACCGGCAGGACACTGCAGAGTACAGTGGACCCCCGACATTCGATGGCATCGACATTCGATAAATCCGACATTCGATGCATTTTAACGCAAAAATTTCACCTCGACATTCGATCGAAAACCCGCTATTTGATACGATTCGTACGAGACGTGTCCACATGCAGCCTGAACTGCCCCGTGTGTGCCAGTGTTTACAAGCCAGCCAGTGTGCGAGCATCTAAGGATACATTCGGTACATTCCATATTATCCATATTATCACTGTTTTTGGTGCTTGTTTCTGCAAAATAAGTAACCACGGGCCCCAAGAAAGCTTCTAGTGCCAACCCATCGATAAAAAAGGTGCTAATGACTATTAAAATGAAGAAAGAGATAATTGCAAAGTACGAAAGTGGAGTGCGTGTGTCGGAGCTGGCCAGGTTGTATAGTAAACCCCAATCAACCATCTCTACTATAGTGAGCAGAAAAACGGCAATCAAGGAAGCTGTTGTTGCAAAAGGTGCAACTATGTTTTCGAAACAGAGATCGCTAATGTTAGAAGATGTTGAGAGACTGTTACTGGTGTGGATAAATGAAAAACAGATAGCAGGAGATAGCATCTCTCAAGCAATCATTTGTGAAAAGGCTAGGAAGTTTCATGATGATTTGGTAAAGAAATTGCCTGCAACTAGTGGTGATGTGAGTGAATTTGAGGCCAGCAAAGGTTGGTTTGAAAGATTTAAGAATCGTAGTGGCATACACAGTATGGTAAGGCATGGTGAGGCTGCCAGTTCAGACCACAAAGCAGCTGAAAAATATGTGCATGAATTCAAAGAGTACATAGAGGCTGAAGGATTGAAACCTGAACAAGTGTTTAATTGTGACGAAACAGGCCTGTTTTGGAAGAAATTGCCAAGCAGGACCTACATTACTCAGGAGGAAAAGGCACTCCCAGGACATAAGCCTATGAAAGACAGGCTTACTCTTCTGATGTGTGCCAATGCTAGTGGTGATTGCAAAGTGAAGCCTTTATTGGTGTATCACTCTGAAACTCCCAGAGCGTTCAAGCAAAAGAATATCCTCAAGGCTAATTTGTGTGTGCTGTGGAGGGCAAACACTAAGGCATGGGTCACTAGGGACTTTTTCTATGACTGGTTACACCATGCATTTGCCCCCCACTGTGAAAAATTACCCAATTGAAAAGAAATTAGACCTTAAGTGCCTCCTGGTATTAGACAATGCTCCTGGTCATACTTCAGATGTGGCAGAGCGACTTTCTGCGGACATGAGCTTCATTAAGGTCAAGTTTTTGCCTCCTAATACCACTCCTCTCCTGCAGCCCATGGACCAGCAGATCATTTCCAACTTCAAGAAACTGTACACAAAAGCTATGTTTCAAAAGTGCTTTGTAGTGACCACAGAAACTCAACTGACTCTAAAAGAGTTTTGGAAGGATCACTTTAATATCCTCAATTGTATAAAACTTATAGGTACGGCTTGGGAGGAAGTGACTAAGAGGACCTTGAACTCTGCTTGGAAAAAACTGTAGCCAGAATGTGTAGACAAAAGGGACTTTGAAGGGTTTGAGGCTAACCCTGAGAATCCTATGCTAGCTGAGGAATCCATTGTTGCATTGGGGAAGTCCTTGGGGTTGGAGGTTAATGGGGAGGAAGTGGAAGAGTTGGTGGAGGAGGACAATGACGAACTAACCACTGATGAGCTGCTAGATCATCTTCAACAGCAAGAGGCCAGACCTGAGGAAACTGCTTCGGAGGAGGGGAGAGAGAAATTGAAGAAGTTGCCTACTTCAAAGATTAAGGAAATGTGTGCAAAGTGGCTTGAAGTGCAAACCTTTTTTGATGAAAATCATCCTGACACAGCTACTGCAAGCCATGCTGGTGACTATTACACTGACAATGTTGTGAACCACTTTAGGAAAGTCATAAAGGAACGAGAGGTACAGGCCTCTATGGACAGATATGTTGTGCGACAGAAGTACAGTGACTCTCAAGCTGGTCCTAGTGGCATTAAAAGAAGAAGGGAAGTAACCCCGGAAAAAGACTTGATACCTCAAGTCCTAATGGAAGGGGATTCCCCTTCTAAACACTAACACCATCCACACTCTCCCCTCCTCCCATCCCATCAATCATCACCAGATCTTCATTAAAGGTAAGTGCCAATTATTCTACTGTTATTAATCTATTGTTATTGTTGTTATTGTAATTTTTCTATTGCATCAAACTTAATATTTCATGTGGTAAAATTTTTTTTTTCATACTTTTGGGTGTCTTGCACGGATTAATTTGGTTTCCATTATTTCTTGTGGGTAAAATTAATTCAACTTTCAATATTTTCGACATTCGATGAGCTCTCAGGAATGGATTAATATCGAATGTCGGGGGTCCACTGTACTTTAGAAACCTATTTGATGCAGATAATGGACCAGTCACTCGCAATAAACCAGTCACCTACTAATACATCACATAGGTGTGATGTGGAATTGTATCTTATCTATCTCTTAAAAGTGCTAAAAGTTTAACCCCTTAATTGTCCAAACATAGATCTACGTTTTTACCACTAGCGCTCCAAACGTAGATCTACATTTTATTTTTTCTGCCTTCAAATTTGGCGTGATAGGCCTGAGTGGCCTAGACATGAGAGAATGGGTCTGTGTACTCAGTGTGCCCTGAATGAAAAAATCAGGGACTGCGCAGTACCACATGGTAGCACCAGTTAGTTGTGGCTCCATCCTGGGTCAACATCGTGGCAAACCCACGTGATTCACTCACGCCTCAGCATATTAACACTCTCTTATTTGAGGAAAGTGATATATACAACATGAGTTTAGTGGATCTGAGACCGATGTGGCCACTAATGATCAAGGAATTATTGGAAATACAGTGGACCCCCGCCTTACGAACGCATCGTGTTATGTTAAATCCACCATACGAAGCATCTGAACGCAAAAATTTTGCCTCGCCTCACGATAAAAAACTCGCCTTATGTGATTCGTCCGGGACGCGTCCCACATGTGGCCTCAGTGCCAGTGTTTACAAGCCAGCCAGTGCGGTCGCATCTACGCATGCATTCGGTACATTTCACATTATCAGTGCTTGTAACTGCAAAATAAGTCACCATGGATCCCAAGAAAGGTTCTAGTGCCATCCCTGTGGTAAAAAGGGCGAGAATTAGAATGGAATTGACAAACGAGATTAAGGAAATGTGTGCAAAGTGGGTTGAGCTGCAAACCTTTACGGATGAAAATCACCCTGACACAGCTACTGCAAGCCGTGTTGGCAGCCTGTACAATGACAATGTTATGGCCCATTTTAGGAAAGTCTTAAAGGAACAGGAGGTACAGAGCTCTATGGACAGATTTGTTGTGTGACAGGTCCAGTGACTCTCAAGCTGGTCCTAATGGCATTAAAAGAAAAAGGGAAGTAACCCCGGAAAAAGACTTGCTACCTCAAGTCCTAATGGAAGGGGATTCCCCTTTTAAACAATAACTTCCACACTCTCCCCTCCTCCCATCCCATCAATCACCACCAGATCTTCAATAAAGGTAAGTGTTATGCATTCTATTCTTAGTAGAGTAGTAATTGTGCATGTCTTCTTCAGTTTGTGTGTATTAAAATTAATATTTCATGTGGTAAAAAATTTTTTTTCCATACTTTGGGGTGTCAGGAACGGATTAATTTGATTTCCATATTGCTTATGGGGAAAATTAATTCAGCTAACGATAATTTTGGCTTAAGATGAGCTCTCAGGAGCGGATTAATATCGTAAGGCGGGGCTCCACTGTACTGACAATAACCCAGATAACCCTCAACCCATCACCTCCGGGGTGGCCAGTGGGGCCACATAAGACCCTCAGCCAAGCACCTCTGGGGAGGCCAGTGTTACAATCCAGAGGCCATATTCTGTCATTTTTGGTGAAGATGCGAGTGAAAGTGATATCAGTGATGATGAGATTGATTTTATGCCCACAGATGATTCATCAAGTGATAGTCATATACATTATTCCCCAGT